GGGAGAAGGGCGACTGGAAAAGCGGGTTTGGCCGGAGGAGTGTTGCCGAGAGGCGGAGGGGAGAAAACATATGTGGTGCCGCCTCCTCATAGCTCCAATGCTCGATCCGACTGAGGTAGTAATCAGGCCGATTTGAGAGTTTACCATACTTAGGAAAGGCATAAATGTGAGTGTGCTTTTCCCCTTGACGAGGGAGAGGAGGATGACAATACCGAAAACAACCATGGCGGTGGCGACGACTCCTTGTTCAAAGGGTAGGGGAGAAGACAATGATATGGGTGAGGTTGGTAGGAGAAGAGAAATTATGATTTATTTTTATTTTATTTTTTAATGAATGTAATAACGAGGTGAAAAATAAGAAAAGATTAAATTTTAATTTGTTGTTATTTTTTAGTTGTCACGTCACTTATTTAACGGTCAACTACCCGAGTTGATTTCCACATCAGAAAAAGTTAACGAAGAGTGACCAAACTTGAACTGTTGAACTAATCTTAGTGATCATGAATGGAATAAATTAATTTTAGTGGCAAACGTGAAATATTTTAGTAATTCCAGTGACCAAACTTGCAATTACTCATTTACAAAACACAACAATTCATTAACCTCATACCATTGACTTATATTTTTGTTACATGAATAATTCTATTGATAGTAAGATAATTTGTATTATTTACATGTATTTATGTTAAGGGTTAATTATAACTATGTATTGATAGTTATCTTTTATTAATTATATAAATTGCAAATTGATGCATTAACCAGAAATTTTTCTCACTTAATGATAACTAGTCTTCTTGCCTGCGCTCTGTGCTGGAATTTGAGCAAAATTAATAAAGCAAAATATTTTCCTTCTGTATTTCATAACATATAATTAGAGGTTGTGTTAATGAGAGTATAGATACAAACGTCATAAGCATAAGCAACCCAGTCTCAACTATTCATTATAAAGTCATAACCGTTGGAACATTTACAGAGCTTGGATAGTATCTCAGCAAAGTATTGATAGGAATATTTAGATGAACATTGGGTATAACTGGGATAAATAAATTAGCTACAAAGTATTTCAAAGGACCTCCACCATGTAAATTTCAAAATAAAATACTCAATTGAGCATGAGAAAAGGATAATATGGAATCTTTTGAAACACCCACAGCCATCAACTGTTATATTTTCCACATGTTAATATTCAATACATAATAAATTGTAACTCAATGATCAAAACATAGTTACAACAAAGGAGATTTCCATAAGCCAAGGCAATCTCTCTATCCTCAAGCGGTCAAGCCATGACACAACAAATAATCATAACTGGATGAGCACAAAGGCATCAATTTGCACATATGACAACACAAAAATTACAAACCATCACCATGACAAACTTGCTACCGATATATGTCTGTTCTCTCCCCATAGCCAACCTCCTTCCCTGTCATTCAAAACTCCAGTTCTAAAAATTGAAGAATCAGAATCAAATAAGTGTTTGTAACAATTAAACAGAAGTAACTTCAACACCAGAATTTTTTTCCAGACAAATAATTCAAGGATCCACATCCAAGAACATATAAGAAATAGAATAGATAAGCAAAAACAATAGAAAATGTGGATTCTACAAAACTGCTTAACAATTAACCGCAACTTATCAATATCCAGCAGTGTACCATTGCAACCTCGCTGTAACCGTGGAAGCTGTGAAACAAAAAAACTAAAACGATTGCAGCAAAAAGTTTGAAGCTAGAAAACAGTTCTTAAAAGTGAAAAGTAAGCTGAAAATTTAAAAGCAATGTAACAAACAATACTTTCATAAATAAATTAGGGCAGACTAGAGAAATAAATTTGGATTGCTTGTTCAACACTAACAACTGGTGAATTATTAACACTAAACATCAATTCTTACAAATTAGAAAGGGACAAATCGTATATGTTAAAACCACCATAGGAAGAAAGGTTATAGAAGAAAGGTACAATCTAATTGTAAATTAGTCTCCAGGTTGAGTCGTATTCATTAGCCACCTGCAGATCGAAGCAAAATAAACCAAGACAGAAAGAAGTAAATAAATTGGACAAAGATTATGAGGAGATCCCAAACAAATTTAGAAGGCACACATATGCAAAAAGCAAGAGCAAGAATAGAACCCCAAACATGTTCTCATTAAAAAAATTACATAACCAATTATAATAAATGAGATAAACTTAAACATGGACAACCAAGCGACTCCAAACTCCTAAAATCAAGAACAAATGGAAGCATATACCGGCAAAGAAGCTTAGAATATTATTTCGAATAGACAATCGAAGTGGCGATGCCATCCTGAACACAGATCTAGTTGCCGCTAACTTAAAAACCCCAGTTGCAAAATTAAGAAATAGAGGAATAAATCAATTAGCATACCTACCATGAGCACAACAAACCAAACACAAATAAAAACAGAGAGGGAAAGGCAGATAACATAACCTACAATCCCAAGAACTTGAGGATATGTAAAATCAGTGCAGTTGCCTCACTGGTGTGAAGACAGTCGGAAGGTTCTTAATTCAACATACCCCTACATCCTTGTGGAGGAGGAAAAACTTTTTCGAGCCACAAAACCCATGAGAAAACTACTAATTTTAGATCCCGAAACTACTAATTTTAGAACATACACAATGGTGGAAGGGAAAAGAGGGAAATTTGGGTAGGAAAAGTTGATAAAGAGGATTTGGGGAAGGGTTTGGCCACAATGGTTGGGGATGAAAAAGAGGGTAATCGATAAGTGTTTTTTTTTTTACAAAATCAATTTAGTGTTGATCTCGTCACTTTATTTAGATAATTTATCCATTATTCTTATATAGGTAGTAATAATTAATTGAGACGAACATTCCGATATAATTTTTTAATTTGGACATATTTTTTATCACTAATTAAATATGACGCTATCAATGACGAAAACTATAGTTGTTGGAAATATGATCCTTGGGAAATTAGTCTTTGGAAAATATAACGGTTAAAAAATATTGTTATCGGCCAATTACACACAATAATCTCAAATTAAAATAATTAAACCAATAAAAAAGACAAATCAAAACAAAAAATATTGTGCCCCACTCACGCCTTTCCCTTTTCCCACTTCTCTATTTGTCTTTTAGTGGAGGGAAAACTCTCCCACCTTTTCCTTCTTTTCCTTTCTTCCCTCTCATTTTGTGGGACTTCTCACCCATTTTTCCTCTTTTCCCCACCTTGTTGTGGGTGGTCTTAGGAAAAGAAACTTAAAGCAAAATCAGTACTACTAATAAGGGTGGAAATTAAGGTATCAGTATCCGAATACCCGATACCGAAATCCCAAAGAGTGAATTACACCCTAAACTTAATCTCAATCCCTAAATATTTTGGTATCCCAATCGGTACTTCGGTATCCCAATCGGTATTATCGAATACGAAATTAATTACCTTTGCAATTAAAAATTAAATATAAAAATTAGATTTTATTGTTAAATTTAGGGAAAAGAGACTAATTAAAGAGTTTTGAGTTTGCCTAGAGCTAGGATACGGGTAAGGGGAATGGAGGAGATGTGACATCTCAAGTTCTTGTAATTGGTAATCTTTAATTTGACGAATTAGAGGTTGATAAACGATTAATACTAGTGTTTGCTTTTTGGTGTTATGAAAATAACAAGACATTAGGTGAGAAACAAGAGTGACTTAAATTGGAAAGTCAAATTTGAGTTGGATGGGGACTTCTAAGTTGTGAAATGGTGATGGAATTGAGAGAGAGAGAGAGTTAAAAGGGGCAACTGTAACCAATACAGATTTAGAGAGAGGGAAACCTGGAATTGAGAGAGGAATTGCAAAATGGCTTACCCGAAAGTAAAAGAAGCTTAAATCACATGCGGATCTGGACGATTGACAGAACCGGAAGATAGACCATTGCTCCTTCCTTCTCCGACTTCGGTTTTATCCAACTCCGATTGGAGACCCGTATTCGTCTCCAACTTTGTCGATATCCAATTCTGATAGGTGAAACCCAAATTTGTCTCCGACTTCTTTGACTGCCATCAAAGCCCAAAGCCGTGCTGATTTATGGCAAAACCAGGTGACGATGACTGTGAATCAGAAGTCGTCTTCAGTGGATGGCGCATCTATAGCCTTCTCTAAAGTAGGTTCTTGTGTTTATGGGTTTCTATATTTCTTGCCTTTTTGGGAAATTACATAACGATGGCGACAATGGGAAGCCTAGAAACTACAGAACGGCGGCAATTACTACGAAAACCAAATTAACCAAACTAAAGTTTAATTGGTTTGGTTAATCGGATAATCGGATTAACCAAATAACATATTACATGAAAACAATTATTATGTTAATGAATAAAACATAACCATATGTTATTACTATCATAAACTATCATTATATATAAGCAATAATAATAAGACTAATCATCCATGATTATCATAATCATTCAAGCTAATACATCATTCGTCATCTCTGCACCTAATATAGTTAGCTTACCAAACCAAATTAACCGATTGCTGCCAGTAAATATGGTTACCATGGTAACCAATTTGTTTGAACACCCCTAGTGCCAAACTGACTCGTCCAAAACTCTTATCCACACAACCCCTAAGGGTTTCACTTGAAAGCTTTTTTTTTTCCTTCGCCCCATATCATCAACATCTATGTTCGTAAGTTGAAATTTTCCTTTGTGTGTTTATTAATTTGGGCTATACCGGTAGAGGTATTTTTCTGGACCCTATCATCACCCTCCATTTCGGTTACATCTTCAATAATCACGTCTTCAACTGGTCACCGCATCCCCAATGTCGGTTCCAAGGATTTTACCTCCCAAAATAGGAGAAACGGCTCGCTGACATTAGAACTCAAAATATCCATTGGACCTAACTGCTAATTTCCTGGGTGCACAAAGATCGGAACTTCTTCTTTTTATGTTCGATGAAATACGATTCCGATTAAAAACATATTAATTAAAATTTGAAATTCAAATTAAAACAAACGGAATAAATTATTTTAATGAGAATAGTGCTCCACTGTTCCCCGCGCCAGAAACAAGACAAAAATGTACACAAGACAAAAGCCCCACCTACACGAACCAACCAAAACAGGGGTCACACTCGCAGTCGCAGGGAGAGGAGAAAAACAAGAAAGAAGCAGAAATCTGCGGTCAATACTCCAAAGTTACTTATTTACTCGGTTTTTCCTTCTCCTGCTCAGCTCCACTTTCGAATATCTAGGGTTAGCTTTAGAGGTAAGCTCAAAATGTACACAGAGGATGATGATTACAGAAGGAAAGCTCGCGTTGCTCTTCTGGCTGTCGTCGTTGTGTCCTCGATGGCCATCGCTGCTCTTCTGGTGGCGTTTAGTTACTACTGCTACATCCGGAACAAGGTCTCCAAACGCCTCGCTAGCCTCAAGAGTAAGCCGCATTTTCGTTCTCATTGTATGAGATTTCTGTCTGCCGCCCTGTTTTGGTTCCTGAGAATTTGTAGGAAAAGATAAGAAAGCGAAATGCAAAGTTTTCTTGTTTTGGTTTTTCTTTTCATTTTTTCATTCTGGCGCTGAGTGGAACATCATTTGGCATTATGGACTTTGCGCCTTGTTTTATGTTTGATGAGTTAATCTCACTACCATTTGTTGCCACAGGGCGTTTGGTTCACATTTGACGCTTTAGATTGAAATGTTCGCTTGATTATCGAAAGAGTTCTGTTTCTATTATCTTATTTTCGAATCTGCAGCTTTCCGCAGTTTGAATTATCGATTTTTTGGGTGCTTGTTCATTTCAATTGGTCCTGTTTTCCCACAGGAAATGGTATCGACGAGAAGGGTGGTTTCTCCAACCTTAAAGTGGCCACTGAGAATGGACTACATGTATTCACGTTCAAGCAGCTTCATTCCGCCACGGGCGGTTTCAGCAAGTCAAACGTCGTGGGTCATGGTGGATTTGGCTCCGTCTACCGTGGGGTTCTTAGCGATGGAAGAAAAGTTGCAATTAAGGTCATGGACCAAGAAGGGAAGCAGGGTGAAGAGGAATTTGAAGTGGAGGTTTTTTGTTTTTGCCTTTGCAACTCAGTTTACCAGTTTTTCTTCCAGTTCAGACATCAGATGTATCTTGGCTTCAAGTGTTGGGAACATATGAATTGCATGGTGATTGGCTTTGTCTTGCTCAATTATAGGTGGAGCTACTGAGTCGCCTTCATTCCCCCTACTTGCTAGCATTGCTGGGGTATTGCTCGGATAACAACCGTAAGCTTCTAGTTTACAATTTTATGGCGAATGGTGGCCTGCAAGAACACTTGTATCCTCTCCCTGGTGAGTTTTAGCAAAGTGTTACTTATTTCAGTTTGTTTGTGACTACCAATTGAAACGTTGCTGGGCTTGTCCCACAGCAAAGCAACAACAACGAGGTGTAAGGATGACAGTCATCCCCAAGAATACTGATCCTATGTAGCTATGTAGCCTTGCATATTTGCTACTCTCAATTGGGATTTGTTCTGTTCTAATCCAGAAGAGAGCATCAAAATGATCGATTAGATTGTTCCTTTGCAAAGTGCTTCGTCCATATCTTAAAATGTAGCTTGCTTTGTTGATGTCATCAAAATATGCAGGTTCTAATGCAACGTACAGGAAATTAGACTGGGAAACACGGTTGAGAATAGCCCTAGATGCGGCCAAGGGACTAGAATATCTCCATGAACATGTCAGCCCTCCAGTCATTCATAGAGACTTTAAGAGCAGCAATATCCTCCTGGATAAAACCTTCCATGCTAAGGTTTCTGATTTTGGATTAGCCAAGCTGGGACCTGAGAGAGCTGGGGGACATGTTTCCACTCGAGTGCTTGGAACTCAAGGATATGTTGCCCCTGAGTAAGTATGAACTTCCAGTAATGTTTGAATATTCCATTTTACACTATACTGCCACATTTATCTTCTCAATGCAGGTATGCGTTAACGGGGCACCTGACCACGAAATCCGATGTCTACAGCTATGGAGTTGTTCTCTTGGAGTTGCTTACCGGCAGAGTTCCAGTTGACATGAAGAGACCGCCGGGCGAAGGTGTTCTTGTATCCTGGGTAAGAAGAATCCCATCTCTTGCAATATTAAGCAATTAGGTTGCTCGAAAACCCCCCACACGAAACAAAAGAAAAGTACTGTGGTCAGTTTTGAACTGGTGTCTTTCCAAATTTACTTGTAGTCTATTCATTGAACCCTTTCTTTCTAATGGTTAAAAAAGGCCCTGCCGAGTCTGACTGACAGAGAGAAGGTCATCCAAATAATGGATCCAGCATTGGAAGGTCAGTACTCCATGAAAGAGGTTGTTCAGGTGGCAGCAATAGCGGCAATGTGCGTGCAGCCAGAGGCAGATTACAGACCGCTGATGGCAGATGTGGTACAATCGCTGGTTCCATTGGTGCGATCAACATCCAAGTTAGGAAGTAGCTCTAGCTTCCATGCACCCAAGTCACCTTTGGTACAGGAAGGCAGTAGGATGAGTGTTTAGTGATCCTCAATTAAGGCTACAGCTAGATTGAAATTTGGTTCTGTATCTATGGCCACTGTATTTACTAGCACCTGTATTATGACTAATGTTGTTGCCACTATGTTTTGATTTCTGATCATACTTTAAATTGCATGTTGCATGTTTTGATCTCTAAAGAAAAACACTTGAAATCTACATTAGATCCAGGGAGAAGTAGGTAGAGGTGGCATTGGATTTAGGGATGGCAATAGGTTGGGTTGTGGCGGGTTATGCCAAATCTAAATCCATGGATTTATCAACAAAAAAAATTTGGGGTAAAACCCAACCTGTGGATTCATGGGCACCCATGGGTTTATGTACAAAGATGCAAGAACACCAATTCAATTGGATTTGAATCAAATTAATTGGATTTAAATGGGTTGAATTAGTTAGATATTTAAGTGGATGGATTGGAATGAATTTGTGGATTAGATTAAAAATCGCCACCTCTACCAGCAGGATTTGGGAGTTCATGTCTCAACCGAAATACTGGCATCATCAAGATAGAGGACTTTTCTACGGCTATATTTAAGCCCTCTTGACATTCATGATGTGCCTTTTTCTTCTACATGTGTCTCTCACCAACAAGATGGATTTGATTGTTCGTAAGTCGCAACTTCTTTTGTTTGGTTTCATGTCCAAGAAATCCTTTAAATTTGTGTAATGCTAGTATTTTTCTTTTCTAAAAGAGACGGCTGATCGGGGGTTGACGACTTTAAGCAATTTAACTTGGTGTTGCTGGCAATTGGTGGGGTTAATTGCATTGGATATCACTTTCGTTATAGACTTGTTGCAGTTTGACCACATAAGGCATATTTGTTGCAACTAAATCACCTATCTCTTAATTTTCGTTGCATCGTTATCTTTTCCATCCCAAAACTTAACAGCGAGTATCAAAACATAATTATTCCAGCCACATGGATGATCTAACCTAGCTGAGTTTCGACTATGTCATCATCTGCCACTGTGCACCATCCGACATGGATGACGATGTCATTTACACGGTGAACGAATCATCTGCTTTTAAGTTTGCAGCGGATTGCTACCTATTTGGGGCAAACTTGAATCACTGGACTATCTCTGACCACACAAACGATGTCGTGGGACGATGATTAAAGCCGCAATCAAGAAAGGAGTCACGCTCGTCAAAGAATTATCGTATCCAGAATTGATAATCATATTGAAGAAATTGCAGAAGAAGATGGGGAATTTTACAATGCTATATAGCATTGGTGCTATAGGTTTTTGTCTTTATGGTATAATTTGATACAAAGTCTTTATGGTACAATTTCAGATTGTACCTATACTTTTTGTACAAATTCTTTTAGGGTTAATTGCATGGTTGGTCACTGAGATTACAAAAAGCGTTCATGTTTGGTCACTAGAAATATTTAAATCCAATATTGGTCACTCAAATTAGTTAAATGGTTCAAGTTTGGTCACTCTCCGTTATCTTTCGTTAGTCTCCGTTAACACCGTCAATTATTTGCTGATGTGGCTAACAGACTCACCTAATCACCTATTTTTGACAAAAATAAAATAAAATTCAATCTTGCCACGTCATAAAAGCTTGCCACATCTTAAAAACCTGACCAATGTGACCCAACCCATTAACCCATAATCTGACCTACCCAAATTATAACCCAAAATTGACCAATCCTCAAAATCCCTTGCCCAGAGAAGACGACCGGAAGAAGCTATTGCCGCCGACCAGCGCGCTGAAGTAAGCGTTGTCGAATCGGTTGGGGGAGGAGGCGAGTGGGGCCAGGTTTCCGTCGCCTCCCGAGGCCGGGCAGCTGCCCCTCCTCGTGGTGGCGAAGTTGGCGTCGATGTTGGTCTCGTTGTAGATCCGGTTGCGGAACCCGTCGCACCTAGCTTGCCCGATGGTGTGGCCGCCGGAGAGCACGGTCATGTCGGCGGCGGTGAGACCCTTGGCGGTGAAGGCGGAGATTAGGGCTGGGAGGTCAGAGAACGGGGAGGGCAGGTCGTTGTTCGCGTCGCTCTGGCTCGCCGTTCTTGCGTCTCTGCGGATTCGATCTCCGTCGCCGTAAAAACACTAGGCCTGGGGATTCGATCTGGTGCCTAGGTTATTCCTCCATTCCAGTAGATGACAAGTTAGGGAGAAGCAGATACAGTAAGATAAGATAGAGGAAGAAGAACCCAAAAGAAGGATTGGAGCAGCCGCAAGATTTTATGACCAATTGAAGGAGCCGCAAGATTTTATGACCAATTGAAGACCGCAGTAGCGAGCAACCGAAACAATTGGAGCAGCCGCAAGATTCGGTCTCCTTTTCTGTCCGCCGGGGATTGAACGGCGTAAGAAGATCTATGACGGCGGCGGATCCGTTGGAAGGAGAAGTACAACAGCCATTTGGGAATCATCAAAATGAGCAACAAGATCCGAAGTGCCTGTTCTTGAAGCTACCGGCGGCGGCAATACCGGATATAGCAGAGGGATGGAGCCGCAGCTTCGTGATAACCGGGAATTGACCAATTCTTTGAGGATTGGTCAATTTTGGGTTTTAATTTGGGGTAGGTCAGATCATGGGTTAATGGGTTGGGTCACATTGGTCAGGTTTTTATGATGTGGCAGGATTGGATTTTATTTTATTTTTGTCAAAAATAGGTGACTAGGTGAATCTGTTAGCCACGTCAGCAAATAATTGACGGTGTTAACGGAGACTAACGGAAGGTAACAGAGAGTGACCAAACTTGAACCATTTATGTAATTTGAGTGACCAAGATTGGATTTAAATATTTCTAGTGACCAAACATGAATGCTTTTTGTAATCTCAGTGACCAACCATGCAATTAACCCAATTCTTTTATGGTACAACTTGAACTTGTATCTTGAAGTTGTACCATAACATAATGATACAAATTCTTCTATGGTACAACTTAAACTTATACATTTAATATTATAATACAACTTCAAGTTATATATTAAAGCACCAATACTATATAGTATAGTAAAAGTGCTCAAAAGAAATTATTACCAATGAAAGCTTTGAATAACATAAGGGTTTTGGTTTTCCTTACTCAATCGGAGAGGGGCTGAGACTAGATACTCGTACTGTGTATGAATTTAGCTCAAGAAAATAACTGGCATGTTTTATTGGACGCTTCAACTCTGGCCCCGAAAGAAATTAGGACTTCAGGGGCTCAGGGCTCTTAATTCAGTGGGATTTTGACCCAATTGTTCAAAAGTTCTGCGGGAGGAATCACATCTCGTTGGGATGTGGTGGAAACTGCCAGCATATCTAGGTATGGAAACTTGCTGGATGATGAAATAGGGTAATTGAATCAAATAGAGGAAAGAAAGAGAGACGATGAGATTGGTAAATATATGTAGATGGAATGTGGGAGGAGAAGAAGACTGAAATAAGGATTTGTTGTAAACATGAAACGACGAAATTTTTATAAAATATATCTACCTATCTATCTTTTATCTATCTATCTATCTATCTATATATATATATATCAGACTGGTGTACGTCAGGCGGTATACTATACATCAGGTACTACTAGTGAGATATCTCTATCTAGACCATGAATTAAATCGAGTTTGGGGGTATGATACTATACCCTAACCTCTAATGGATAAACCCCAAGCACCGATTTTCTAAAGCCTAACCCGAAGTTTGATTTAATGAAAAACAAAAATGGACCGTTGAGATCGGCCGAAGCTCATCTAACCACATCTAACGGCTAGACAACCTGACGTATACCATACGCCTGACGTACACCAGTCATCACCATATATATATATATATATATATATATATATATATATATATATATGGTAAAGTCTAGCGTACGCCCGGACGTACCTTAGTCTACCGTACGCCCGTTGAGTTTTACTATTTAGATCATGAATTAACCGGAGTTTTTGGCATGATACTATACCCTAACCTCTAATGGATAAACCCCAGTCCCTAATTTTCTAACCCAACTCATGAGATTCATTTAATCTTAAAAAGTAAATCAACAATAATTTTGACAAATCAAGACCGTTGATTTTCATTTCAAGATTAAATGAATATTATGCTCTGGATTAGTGAATTAGGGACTGGGGTTTATCCATTAGAGGTTAGGGTATAGTATCATGCCAAAAACTCCGGTTAATTCATTGTCTAAATAGCAAAACTCAACGGGCGTACGGTAGACTAAGGTACGCCCGGGCGTACGCTAGCCTGAACCATATATATATATATATATATATATATATATATATATATATATAATATATTAAAGGGTTTCTCAAAACCACCTTCCCAGTTCAAATTTCCCTGTAGGGATGGCAATGGGGCGGGTTTGGGGCGGGTTTGCCTAAACCATCCCCATCCCCATCTTCAAATACCCAAACCCATACCCGCCCCATACCCATGCGGGGGAATGTTTTGCAAACCCATCCCCATACCCGTGGGTTTCGGGTACCCATGGGTAATACCCATCCCCGTACATCCAACATTATTATACCTAAAACTTACAAGAAAAGTTTTAATTATAACCATAAACAAACCTATTATATCACGAAGTCAACAAAAACACGGTCATTTTCTAAATACGATTCAAAGAATATGATCCTAAAACATCCATTAATACATAATATAGACTACAATATTTTTAAATTATTATGCTCTAACTCTTGATACATTTACTAAGTAATAATTAACTAACATAATCAAGGGGGAAAGTGAAAGAGTGGATGAGAATTGAGGGAAATTAATTAGGTTTTGATTAAGGTGGTTACTCAATTGCATTTCTACTATTTATTTTCTCGAGTTATCATCATCATCATTGATAAATTACAATTTAATCCACGTATTTTTTGATATGTGAAGAAATTCTCTTGGTGGGGCGGGTATGGGTATGGGTATGGGGCGGGGGAGGCTAAAACCATACCCGCCCCATACCCATCAAACCTTTTGCGGGTTTTACCCATACCCGCCCCATACCCGGTCAAAGCGGGGATTCCCCGCGTTGACTGGGTATGGGGCGGTCGGGTACCCGCGGCCATGGGTTTGATTGCCATCCCTATTTCCCTGCACTCCCCGTAACTCTAGGTATTTTTTTCTTGAAAACTTAATTCTACGTCATCTATCCTTATTTATCGAAGCAATTATCTTTCGTTCGTTTTTTTTTTTCTCTCGCTTAAACTGCCAGACGACAATCTAAACATTGCCACCCTTAAAAAAATTAATAAATAAATAATCCTAAACGTTGCCTCACGATCTCCTCCCCTCCTCATTTCCATGAAACCCAAGTTCACTCCCAATATCCCCACAATGACAGTTTCCCTCTTCTTCCACCCTCATCATTCTATCTTATTTCTTTTATTTTCTTTATTCAGAAAATTCATACAACTACTACGTTCTCCAAACTTCATTTTTGCTGAGAGGCTAATGTGCTAGAATTATTTGCGCAATTAACGGGGCGCCGATAACAAAGTTTTAGAGAAGCACCCCACATAGCATCTCTCATATTCAGTCTGTAATCCGACCATCAATTACAGAGATTATGATAAAAGTCTTCCGACCATGCATCGAGCGAGGCTAAGGATGGCAATCAAACCCATGACCGCAGGTACCCGACCGCCCCCGACCCAGTCAACGCAGGAAATCCCCACTTTGACCGGGTATGGGTAAAACCCGCAAAAAATTTGATGGGTATGGGGCGGGTATGGTTTTAGTCTCCCCCGCCCCATACCCATACCCATACCCGCCCCACCAAGAGAATTTCTTCACATATCAAAAAATATGTGGATTAAATTGTAATCTATCAATGATGATGATGATAACTCGAGAAAATAAATAGTAGAAATGCAATTGAGTAACCACCTTAATCAAAACCTAATTAATTTCCCTCAATTCTCATTCACTCTTTCACTTTCCCCCTTGATTATGTTAGTTAATTATTACTTAGTAAATGTATCAAGAGTTAGAGCATAATAATTTAAAAATATTGTAGTCTATATTATGTATTAATGGATGTTTTAGGATCATATTCTTTGAACCGTATTTAGAAAATGACCGTGTTTTGTTGACTTCATGATATAATAGGTTTGTTTAAGGTTATAATTAAAACTTTTTTTGTAAGTTTTAGGTATAATAATGTTGGATGTACGAGGACGGGTATTACCCATGGGTACCCGAAACCCACGGGTATGAGGATGGGTTTGCAAAACATTCCCCCGCATGGGTATGGGACGGGTATTGGTTTGGGTATTTGAAGATGGGGATGGTTTAGGCAAACCCGCCCCATTGCCATCCCTAAGCGAGGCAGAGGATGAAGGAATATTTATTGAATGTGAGGGAATAAAACTCAGACGATGGAGATGGTGATTGATTGAAGTGGTTGGTAAAGTCGGATTAACTATGTTTCTCCAATTTAGAGATTTTAACCTCTTACGGCCGCAAGCTTATGATTCCTCTATTTGCATATTCGGTTATCTGACTTATTTCTTTTTGCAGGTCGTCAAATATGGATTATTAAATAATCAAATGAAACTCGCCCGGCTGACTGGCCGGGAAGTTAGCTAGTGTTAAGTATACAAACGTTGTCGCTTGAGATAAAGTGACAACTCAGTAGAGTTTGTTTGCCAACGTTGCAGAATAATTACGTTTTCAAACTCGCTGTTAAGTTTTGGAACGGAAAAATGAACAATACAACCAAAACTAAAATTAAGTGTTTTAGTTGCAACAAATATTATTTAAGTGGTCACCGTGCAACCAGTTTAGAAATTAAGTGACATCTAGTGCAATTAATCCCAATTGGTGCCTAATTCAAAACCCACCTTCCTTGTGGGCTCACTTCCTTAGCTTTCGTTTGGATGAAAAATTTTAATAATGACAAATTCTTTCATTTAAAATAGTGTTAATACAATATATTAGCCACAACTATTATGAAGCGGGGAATTATAGCCACAACTATGAAAATTCAAATTATTAGCCATAACTATTGTTGCAGGTCAAGATATGGCTAGCTGTCCGTTACTGTTATTGAATTTTTGACGGAGAAGGCCACGTC